ATATTTCTCCAGAGATCTTTCACTTTACAATTTCAATGGCAAAGGTATGTCTGTTTGGTTCTGCTTTGTGTTTCCTAGCGCTGGCCTAAAAAATACGTATTTTCATGGCTATTTGTTCTCTGCCTTTTCAAAGTTTGTAATTGGGAATGGGAATACCATTTCCTTTTGAGAAGACAATTTCGTTCTAGGTTTCACTCTGATGGACTTCTTGCCCCAACTTCTCTTGTTTCCTTTATATATATATGGGCATTCTCCAATAAGTATTTAAGTTAAGGATTGGTTACATACTTCTAATCTCGGCCGCTGGATTGCATCTAAGAGACTACCAACACATTTAATGAATGCAATCCAACGGCCAAGATGAGTTTTTAGTAACCAATCCTTAACATAAAATACTTATTGGAGAATCTCCCTATATATATATATTCTTCGTTTCCTATAAAAGCAATGGAAACAAAGTCCTGATGAGTTTTTAGTATATATATATATATTCTTCGTTTCCTATAAAAGCAATGGAAACAAAGTCCTGATGAGTTTTTAGTTTTGTGGAGGTTCATGATGGTTTTATAGCTTTACATGTGTCTGTAGCTCTAACTTAGTATTATTACCGTGTCTTCCAGTGAGTTGTCTCATTCATAGATTGATTGAAAAATGGTCAAATAAATGCACTTAAATGAAAAATAAAATAATGTCCCTAGATGGTATCGGTAATCCTGCATTATTTATGACACATGCATCTGATATTAATCACCAATTAAGGCTTAGTTTAGTTGAGTTGACTTGCATCCTTTACTGTTTGTATATTCTTCAGTTTCTTCAAATTTGATTTCATTATCACTCTTGAAGTGAATTTCCATGTCATTATGTTTTTATGGACAATTGTTTTCTCGTGACACATTCCAGGATGACTCTCCTTTGGTTAGAAGATTATTTCTCGATAAAGCACACAAATTACTGAAGGAGCATGCTATACCTAGCAGATATGCATGTGCTTTTGCAATGGCCACCTCAGATTGCCCCAAGGATCTGCAAGATGATGTATGCTAAATATGATTTATCTATGCAGTTATTTCTGTAGACTTATATAAAGTAATGTTTGCTAATACCATTCAATTTAGTCGTTAAAATATATGGCAGAGTTTGTCAAGGATTACAGTAGAGAAGCTCAACTGCATCAAATCTCTGGAGTGCAAGAAGGATTAATCACTGATTTTCCAGCATACATAGTGGTATTCTTGATCCATCTTCTTGCTCATGATACAAGCTTCCCACCTATGGACTGTCTAGATGAAGAAACATATGCTCAGTTTTGCAGGTATGAAGATCCATTTGACTTAATCGCATTGCAGATTTCCTAGTACTGGATATGAATGCAGTTATGGTGACACACTTTGGATTATGTCTCTTTGCAGTCCATTGTTTGTTTTACTACAGGCTTTAATCAATGCTAGTAATGCTGATGGTGCCCTGGATATTGTCAAAGATTCTGTCTTGTATTTGATCTGCATTTTCCGTGCAATTAAGAGATCTGAGGATGTTATAGATGTTGAAAGAACTCCTGTAAGAATTTTCCCTCAGAGAATAGCTTTCCCCCTCATTCACTTTATGTTTACATTTTATGTTTATGGAAAGGAGGTTTTTCTTACAATGCAGAAACTGCACATTCTAGCAGACATTGGACACTCTTTTGTGACATTAACAAATCATAATGGCCTCTCCGCATCACATGCTCCTGGGCAAATTTTGTTACCATCATCCTTATACAAAGTGAGTATTGCTAATAAAAGTGTGAGCTGTTTTGGAAGAAAATTTCAAAATTATTTTCTCTATCATTTGGCTGAAAGAAAATTTAATGTTCTATTTAAATGTTCCACATCTTTTCACATTTTTATTATTTGTTGTCTGCAGTCTAATTCAAGATGCCTTACTCAATCATGTTTTGACGAGCACTTAGTCAAAAGAGTAATTCAGATATTTAAATCTAATATCTCTTTGGTATGTATCTGTACTGTTCATTTACTGTTGAAATTTATGTGGCCCCAGAATTGTCTAAATTTTTCTTTATATTTTTGTCTTGTCGGAAAATCTTTGTTTACCTTCCAGCCTGCTAGTACACTTCCTAAACGTGGGCGTAAGTGTCAAGAGGATAGAACACAAGCTGATGTTGTCCAGGACAACAAACTTATCTTAGCATCTTGCAAGATAGTTAATTTGTCCAAAGATGGGAGAGCTGAAGCCCAAAAACCTGAGAAAGAAGGCAACAGTACAGGAGGACGTAGGAGAAAACGAGCTCTCTCTCCAATTGCTCCTGGATCAGTTGCATTCCATGATCGTTCTAATAACGATTACCCAAGTGGTGTATCTAAAAAATCTGAAACTAGTCTGGAAAAAGAAATACTTTCATCTTGTAATTCTGTAGCTACAATATCTTCTCTAGGTGGATCAAATGTCTCAATCCAGAATGTCAAAAGCAATACCATTGATGTGGAGCATTCCAATCACCCCAGAGCGAAGCTGAAGGGCCCTTGCAGCCTGAAAGTAAGAATAAGCTCTCCCGTTCAATGCACTTGAAATTTTATTTCATATTTAACACTTCTGTATGAATTTTGTAGGAAATTAGTAAAAAGGCTGAGGCATTGGTTGGGCAACGGATCAAATTTTTGTCACCAGTAGATAAATGGTGAGCATTTTTCCAATGAAAGAGATTATTTTTCAACATTGTTGTAGCCCTTCTTTATAACAGTATTTAATTTTTCTTTTCCAGTTTTTATTCAGGTACAGTGGATGGTTATAATTCTCAAAACAACATACACAAGGTGAATAAATATGACTAGTTTCAAAAACAACAATTTCTGTAGTTCAGCAACTACATGGAATTTTTTTTCTGTAGTTCAGCCATCCTTCCTAACCTGTTACTATTATTTTTGGCATGTGAATATTGCACATCCATTGTCACTTTTTCGTCGTGCTTAATTTCCCATCCTATTGGCAGATCACATGTGATAGTAGTGGGAATGTTCAATTGGTATGCTTGGCAAGTGAGAGCTGGGAAACTATAAGTGATGGCTCACTGGAGGAAAAGGTATGGGTGGAATACTATGAATGCTTATTAGCTTGCAAATGTGAACTTCAGTTTAACATTTACAAACTTTTAAGTGCTCCCCCAAAAAAAAAATGGTTGTACTGTTGAAAGCTTAAGTGGACTTCGATAAAATTTCAATTTCACCTCCATGTAATTCAGTTTTAGTCATAAACTGATCATTCATAAAAAGTTTTTATATTTAATTGACTCAGCATTCATTAAAATTTTCAGTGCATGCTTGAAGCCTGGAACCACCCAGGAGTATAAACACAATTTGACAACATTAAACTAGCATGAAAGTTATTGTGCCTTTTTGGGTGTGCAGTGTTTGCTTGTGAAGTCTGAAAGTTGCACCCTGAATTCTTTGTACTGTTCCAATGATCTTGTGGCTAACTCTGTAGTTTTGGATGCAGCAGAAACAAAAGGTGGGGAGGAAAGCCTCTGTGGACACCTCAGCATCAGAAATTACTGATACGAATGAGGCTGCTGTAAGGCTTGCAATATTTTTTCCTTGTTATTATTTCACTTTGCTCTTATATTTTAAGGAACCAAGTGGAATAATTTCCTAGGAGCTAATGTTGTCTGTTTAGATAATATAACTCCCAAGTCTGATTTTTTGTGATAAATGTTAAAATCGTACTTTTTTTCTTTATAATGTTTTGGTACAATAAATTCCAAGTGAATTATGTTTGAATTTTTCTTACCCCCTATAAAGAATCGTATTTTCTTCCCCTATTTTCGAAACTCTTACAAGCTAAATTCTTCATTTAAATGGCTTCCATAATTCTTCGAATAAGTGTTCCTCTGCTTTTATTGGTAAATAAACCACTTTCCTTTTCTCTCGTCATATTTAATAAACATTGCTACCCAAACACCCAAACAAAGCTTATAGAGCACAGTATTCAAGTGTTCGATTTGATTCCCCACAGTTCGATTAATCAGACATCTACGAAGATGGAAATTCCAAATTTTGCTTAGCAAACTGCCAAACCACTTTCCTTTTCTCTCGTCATATTTAATAAACATTGCTACCCAAACACCCAAACAAAGCTTATAGAGCACAGTATTCCAGCCAAAGAAATTATCGCCCCCTGTATGTGTGTGTTTATTGACATATCCTTGGTTATGTATAACACTAATTTCTGTTTGCTTATTTCAGGTTCCCAGAAGAACTCGAAGACAAAAGAAACTTAATTAGCTATGATAGTATTTTATTTTAAATTAGGTCATTGCACTTCAGTTCTTGAAACTAGCAACATCTCTAACTTAAAATTAAGACAAGTTGAGAGGTCGAACAGGCAGATCACTCCAAGGAATCTTTGGTGCCTTCAGTCTGGCAGAAAGTTCCAACAGGTCGTCCCAGAGTTTGCACCCTTTGCCTTCTGTAAGTAATCACTCTAGATGTCAATGTTGCATATATTCTTCACAAGCGAGCAACCCCAGACGGGTTGTGTGCACATATAGATATATATATTGATCTACGAGTTCTCTTGCAAATGAAATTTTGTATTATGTAGAAATTAGTATGAGTTCTTCTAATGCTAATTGAGAGGCAAGTATATACGTACCGGTTTGCCTTATTTACGTACTGCCATTATCTTGCAATTTCCTTTGTCATTGTAGTAGCTAGTTTGCGCTTTTCTTTAATCAGAAAGCCAGATTTTTCTTTAGATCTATGCAGTGAACTCAATAACCCATGGAACCATAAACCCGTCTGACTCTCCTAACTTGAACCGAAGTAGTTGGTCTGAGTTTTATTGTATATAGTTAGAGAATGTACGTATAATTTAATCGTTTAGTTATTAGTGACTCTAATCAGATTAGGACGATACTTCTGCATGTATAATTTAGACAATGTTTATGGCCCCCCTAATAAGTGTCCTTATTGTTTCTGGGTCCGATTTGGTGAGCTCAATAGTTTTGAAGCTCAGTTCATTTTATTTTAATTTTGTAAGACAAATAACTTGAACATCATACAAAGCCGAAGGCCTTTTTATTTTGACATATTATATATAGCCATTGATTATTCGATGATCGCATGCACGAAACACCCAGATTTAGCCACTTGGAGCAGATATCCATGGGGCTAACTAAGCAGCAACCTTGTAGTCAGTCATCCGCATATAGAAGCCATGTTTCTTGTAGTTATTATACATCCTCAAATTCAGCCACTTCCCTGCCTTGTATTCGGGGTACTTGGCCGGGCTTTGTTCATCAACCAACTCATCCAACGGCTTCATGGTTACATCATGAGAGGGGTGAAAAAATATAGGGATGGAATACCTTTCTGTTTCTGCATTCACCTCGGCCCGATGCTCGACACTTTCGTAAAGGTCATTGCTCCATACCTGCCAAAAAAATCCAACCAGGCCCCGCTAAGTTAGAAGATAGTTGTATCCACACAAAGTCGTAATTGTTTGTATACTACCTGAAGAACATCGCCAACATTGATGACAAAGGAATCCGGGACAGGCTTGACACGAATCCATGCTCCATCTGATTTTCGAAGCACATCGAGGCCTTCGACATCTTCTTGAGCGAGGACGGTTAGAGCACTGGGGTCCTTGTGTCCACCGGTGCCAAGAACAAGCTCCGGTTTGGGACATGGAGGGTAGTAATTGAGTCGGGCAAAGCTTGCTTGATTCTCAAAGTACCCATGCAACCTCTTGGGGGGTAAGCCTAAGCTGAGGCTGACAAGTTCCAACAAATTGAAGAATAGCTTCTCACATGCTCCACCATATTCTTCGCATGTCTCCCTGATCTCAACAAACCACAAAATATGAATTAGTTTTTATACAAGAATCATATAAGTATCATGAACTGTGATATTTTGTCGTGACAATTACATGTCAGACTGTCAATATGAATTATACATCGTCGTTAGTGTACTTTTACCTGAACTCCGGTAGGTTCTCGGGCCATGGAGTGAACCATGGAACAATTTCAGGGTCATCAAGTTCATGGGAAGCCGGCATTAGCATCCCATCATTAACATAAAAATCATAAACCTCTTTCCAATCCTTAAAGTCTTTGCTATGCTCATCGTTATGAAACCCAGCCGTGTTATGGTCCTCTCTGCTCACTTTCTTCTTCTCCTCCACCGGCAATGCGAAAAATTCCCGTGCCACCTCCATGATTCTTCTCCGGATGCCCAAAGGCACGCCATGGTTGATCACGGTGAAGAACCCCCAAGTCCTGCAAGCCTCACCTATCTTAGCAGCAAGATCTTCCACTGCCTTATTAGGATCAGCTGATAACCCTTCCCTGTTGGTTATTGGAGAGAGATCGATCAATGGGATTCCTTCACCTTCAGTGATGACATGTTTGGGCCTGTGTTCTTCTGAAAGGATGCATGACGGGTTGACTTCTCCCATGGTCGGGCAAAGCTTGCTTGATTCTCAAAGTACCCATGCAACCTCTTGGGGGGTAAACCTAAGCTGAGGCTGACAAGTTCCAACAAATTGAAGAATAGCTTCTCACATGCTCGACCATATTCTTCGCATGTCTCCCTGATCTCAACAAACCACAAAATCTGAATTAGTTTTTATACAAGAATTATATATGTATCATGAACTGTGATATTTTGTCGTGACAATTACATGTCAGACTGTCAATATGAATTATACATCATCGTTAGTGTACACCATATTCTTCGCATGTCTCCCTGATCTCAACAAACCACAAAATCTGAATTAGTTTTTATACAAGAATTATATATGTATCATGAACTGTGATATTTTGTCGTGACAATTACATGTCAGACTGTCAATATGAATTATACATCGTCGTTAGTGTACTTTTACCTGAACTCCGGTAGGTTCTCGGGCCATGGAGTGAACCATGGAACAATTTCAGGGTCATCAAGTTCATGGGAAGCCGGCATTAGCATCCCATCATTAACATAAAAATCATAAACCTCTTTCCAATCCTTAAAGTCTTTGCTATGCTCATCGTTATGAAACCCAGCCGTGTTATGGTCCTCTCTGCTCACTTTCTTCTTCTCCTCCACCGGCAATGCGAAAAATTCCCGTGCCACCTCCATGATTCTTCTCCGGATGCCCAAAGGCACGCCATGGTTGATCACGGTGAAGAACCCCCAAGTCCTGCAAGCCTCACCTATCTTAGCAGCAAGATCTTCCACTGCCTTATTAGGATCAGCTGATAACCCTTCCCTGTTGGTTATTGGAGAGAGATCGATCAATGGGATTCCTTCACCTTCAGTGATGACATGTTTGGGCCTGTGTTCTTCTGAAAGGATGCATGACGGGTTGACTTCTCCCATGGTATATGTTGATGGTTTATGGGTTTGGATCGTCAAGCATTGGTGCCATGGCTGTGTATATATAGTTGCATAGGGGGGGATGGGGGCTTCATTTGCTTGCAATATGGCCCTATATCTGAACGTATTTCCTTTCTATACCATATATTTTATTGTGATTTTTAGTCACCAATGCTTGAGTGTCGTTAGGGTTTAATTAATCGCGAGACTCGAACTAGTATAGTATGCATGGATGAGATGGTGGTACTAAATTTGTCATGCATGCTGACTCATCTTTTTTACTTTTTTTTTTAATCCATAAAGACAAATTATAAGTTCTCTTAAAATTAGACACCGTAAACACATAAAATCATCCCAATTTAAGCAAACCGTGTGATGTTATTGTCATTTCGTTATACCACATTAACATGTTGTTCACCTAATAAAAGGAAAAAAGTAATGAAGGAGTTTTCGATAATAATCTATATAATTACTTCGCTAAGGGCGGAGTAAGTAATATCAAAGAATTGAGCTTAGTGAGCTAAACGCAATCAAATGATAATACGATTTGAACCCAATTACTTGAGAATGAATGTTAAGTTTTATCCATACACTCAGATGATAATCGATTCAAACTCAATACAAAAATTAATCATAATGTTGTTTTCCCTTTTGTTATTAGATCTCTTAACTTAATTACGTTGTTAACTATCTTTTTACCTATGGTTACTGGGTCACCATGCAATAGCAAGCACATACGTCAGCTAAATAGTTTTATGGATCCAATGAAATTTCCTGGCAATGGTTATGATGTGGAAAACGGAGAAGAAACAAAACGTTGGTGTAGCCATATTTGTCCGTTTCTTAACAATTTTTGTTTTATTTTACAGAAAAGTAAAAACTAAGACCAAGACTAAAACCTAAAGAGCCTGCAATCGCAATCACGTTCACAAATTTCCAATTTCAGTAGTACTTTTCTACACGATTAGTTTAATTGTCAACAATTTCCCGGAAAAAGACTTTTTTATAGTCTGTGAAAAAAACAATACAATCTTTTTTTTTTCTTTTTTTTTTCTCTAGTTGACGAGGGAAAAAGGCTTAAACAACATATTAATATAATAAGTACCCTTCTATTAAGGGATCCCTTACAAATATTTTTTAGCAATCTAAACCGACTATTTTTCAAGTTTTCATTCATAAATCATCCTTACAAAAACTCATGCAAATTGAAAATTATCAAGGCATTCAGTTGGGACCAACAAAATAGATGAACACGGTGCTTCAAGAAAATACAATAATAATAACCATCTAATTGAGTGGTCAAATAGTTTTCGATTCAAGTGATTTTTTTGCATGAATGATATTTGATGTAATATCTAAAAACTAGACGGTTCGGATAATTGAAATGCAATGCATGTTGGGCCTATAAACATATTCCTAAAATAAATTGACACTCTGTTAATATAATATCTCATTGCCTAACAGTCAAAATGAATAGGACCATTATATATATAGTTTAGTTTATCTATTCATTATCCACATTTTCGTTTTAGTTTTATCTAATGAACCACGTTTTGTGTGTGTGAACATTTTAGATGATGAAACAACTTTTGATGTGGATTATTTTTTGAAGGATATCTATTGAATGATCACCTAATATATAAATGGTTCCAATCGTTGAAATATATTATTGAGAACATCCTTAACATAGAAAAATCATTAATATTCTATATATTCTCTTAAAAATGTTGCAAGTGTGTATATGAGTAAACATTAGTTTTTTATGAATTGAAAATACACTTGAACTTTTTAGTTATTGTACAAGATCAAAATTAAAACAAAATAGCTAACACATTAAAAGAATGAAATTACTAATCATTAAATTTGACAATAATTCAATTTCATCCTTTATCGATATGGATTGACAAGTTAATTTCGATAATCTAGATACAATACGAATCCGATAATGCCATTATAAATGAATTTAAATTTGGATTAAGCCGATGAGATCCGTTTACATATCTAGTTTTCATTGTGGGTTTGGTGTGGGCCGCAAATCTCTTATCAGTAGGGCTTTGATGCTCCGCTCAGGAAGACTCTGATATGGGCTTTAAGAATTTGTATTTCCTCTTGGGCCAATGGGTGAGCTAATTAATTAATTGTTGAAGCATCTCAAAGCATACCTATTTATGTAGATGGTATTCAACAAAAATTATATTAAAAAAAAAATTTAAGAAAAAGATGGTGAAATTTTATCCTTTTTGGATTAAAGAAAACTTTACCTAGCTCAATTAAGGTGAGTTTGGATGGGAGAAATAAAATTGGAATTTGGACAAAAATTAGAATTTCTAAAACGACATAGACTAATTCCCGTGTTGGGATAAAAAACAAATATATTTAGAATTTTCACATGTAAAAAAAGGGTGCTGATTTTCCCATTTCCCTTTTGTCAACTTACACTTTCTTTTATTTTTTTTTAATACTTTTTATTATAACATACAAGTGAGTGTAAGTGCACAAAAGAGAAGTGAGAAAATTAGCTATAAAAAAACATGAAATTTGGAGTTCATAAATTTCAACTTTAAATTCTATCTAAATAGTTGTAATTTCTAAAATTCCAAGAGAGGTCGAGTTTTAAAATATGTAAATTTCGTGTTTAAATCCATTAGGCAAATTTTTTTTTAATACAAATTTTAGAACATTAATTTATAGTATTTTAAATTTCATTGTTTGTGAATTCATTAGTATTTTTAAATTTTTTCATCCAAACACATGACTAGATCATAAATAAATTTTTATAATTTTATGTGTGAAAATTAGAAAGTTGAGCATTTTCATCCTTTTATTTATGTGATGTCATTGTCGCTCGAAAATGGTGGATTCGTCCCTTACATCAAACGAAACGAACAATTGAGATTAAAAATAAATATTTTGTATTGTTAAAGCCAATCACAGTAATTACGTAGAACCTAAACTAAACACCAGAAAGGAACAGCAAAGATCCTGTAGCCAAACAAAGCCCCAAAGAGTCAGTCAGTCGTGAGAGTTCTCGCAAGTCTCAGACAAGTTAGGTTGCTTCCAGACTAAAAGACGCCGTGGTAGCGCACGTTTTTATCATGCGCACTCCTCCTCTTACCTCTCTTCGTTAGTCCACTGTCCATGGCTCCATTGAAGACCGATTCTCCCATCTCTCGTCGCATCGTACGTTCCTTCTTGGATTTCCTCAACTCAGGTCTCTCTCTCTGTCTCTGTCTCTCTGTCTCTCTGTCTTTATGTAATTGTTAAATGTGATTATATAGTGAAATTGTATTTAGGGTTTGAAGCTGCTTCATAGTTTTTTGTTTTCTTTTTGTGGTGATATGAAAATTGCATTGATTGTTTGATTATTTTGGATTTTGAATGCCTCATGTTTTGATGCACTTTTATACTTAAAGCTGTAGACTTTACATTCTTTTAGGCTGCATGTTCAGCTCTCTGCCTCTCTCTTGAATATCTCTTTTTGATTCAATACCATTAATTTTCTTGTTTGTTTTTTTTTTCTTTGGGATCAGTTTAATGTGCTTGTTGATTATGCTTTTTTAATTACTATTATGGGTTGTTTCCTTTGGGGCAGTTGAACCAGCTTCTGGTGTTGATCTTGAAAGCCTCGAGGTTGCAAAGGAATGCTTGCAGGAGACTTTTAAGCTTAATACACCTGCTACTGATGATTGGATCAAACCCGTTTCGTTGGCTGATATTTTTAGTTCACTGGAGTTGAACAAGCTTCAGGAGAATAATTCTGATCATGGTTATGGATCGTGCTCAGTTGATGCTCCTAGTTCATCAGCCGTTCAGGGTTCTGCTGATGCCAATCTTTCAAAGGCATCAAAATCTCTGGTGTTTGGCTGTTATCTTCTTCATTATTTTAAATAATTATTATGTAAATCATCATGTGGGTGTAATGCATTGAATATATTAATTTTGAATTTATCTGTAAGTTAATATGGAGAATGAAAATGTCAGCTTGCTAACAGTCAGATATTGGGATTTGGGTATAATAGATGAATGGGAGCTGTGGGCTAGTAGCCCTTGTCCTTTGTTTCAAGAGAAGGAAATGAGGACGTAAAGGGATGCTTAGTGTTGGACTACTAGTATGTGATCAGGAAAATGGAAGAAAAGGAAGGAAAAGGATCTAGTTGGGGTTTTTCATCTTTTGACTATGCGAGTTAAGGTTATAAAAGCGCAAGAAAGTGACTATTTAGAGACATAAATGGAATACGCTCTAAATATCAGGACTGATATAGTGACTAATATTATAATTTCAATGTAGCTAACGGTCGGATCTTGGGTGTATATGTTGGTTATAATTAAGTTGGAAGCTATCTCATAGCAGTAGGAAAAGAAGAGGAATATGTGACTAGATGAGGAGAAGCGAATACGAGATTTCTTTTGTACTAACTTTGTATTATTTGGTTGTTTCATTGTGGTGTTAATTCTTGAATGGACTTATGTGATTGTATTAGGTTTGGTTTTTTAATAAAAGATTAGAAATCAGATTAATTCACAAAACCACTGTTCTTTCCTGATTTGAGAACATGTCCTTTTATATTCTTCTTAATGCTTTTGTTTATTTTCATTCTCTTTAAAATCATTAATTGAACTATGCTTTTATAGTTGCATGAACATGGATATTTCTTAATAATGCTTTTACTACAAGATTTGATTTTTAGTATTGAGTTTGACTCTTTCTCGTGTTACACTTTAATCAGGGTGAAGATTTGACAAGTAAAGACCATGCATTAGGTATTATGTTTTCCGTATCGCTGTTTTTTTCTCTAATTGTAGTTCATACTTTCCTTTACATGTGTCGTTGCCTTGTTGGAGCATTTATCGAGTGTGGCTAATTTGCTTCCATTTTTGTACATGAATCTTGTCATTGGGTGCTTTTCCTTAAAGGGAACATTATCTGTTGCATCAACAATTATTTATATCATCTTTAGGGATTGAACCAGTGTTTTTCAAAGAGTTTTTGAGCTGCGCCTCAAGGCATGCATATGGGCAAGGTGTTTGTGAATTGCTTGAGGGGTAGGGTTGTTTAGCTCTTTTCATGGAAGGTGTATGCGTTGATTATTAGGTGGTGTTAGGCGCGTGCTCAGTTGCAGAGGCAGCATAAATGGAGGCTGAGGGGTTAGTGAAGAAGAAGACAATTTGTTGTGCCTTAATTTTTTGGATAGTTTTAGACAAAACAATGTCGTTTTGTCATGCATTGGCATCCTTTCAATGAAATGGTTTTTTTTCATTCAAGGCTAGTTTTAAAATTCAAGGCACAATATTTTGTCTAATTAAAGCTTCTTCTTCCTCTCCAACTCAATAGAACCCAGCCCCTAATTGAGTTTTCTAAACCTTAATTCTTCTCCCAAAAGATGCGAACTAGCCTCCCTTTCTACTTCACTCCATCTGCATACCTCACTCTCTATTTCTCTTTTCTACTCTGAAGAAGGCTAGCTCAGCTCGTAAGTAGCTCTCTTCTATCTTTTCCCATGTTTTTGTGTGTATATGGTTCTCCTAGCCTCAATCCTATATCGAATCCTTAGTAGCTATACCGAGGGTGCTGTTTTGTGCTCTTTATTGATAAATGACCCAATATTTTCATTCTTTGTTTTGATTTTTGTTTTAACTTTATATATTTTGATTAAAAAAAATTCATGTCCCAAAAGGCTTATGTCTCAACACTACAGGGCTTATGCCTCGCCTTGTGAGACCAAAAACGCCTAGCCTCAATGAATTGGATTGTAGTTATGTTCTAATCGCTGTTAACATTGTTATTTTATAAATTAAAATGTCCTGGTAAGAGGATGATGCCAAACATGATTATTATTAAGTTGTTTTAGAAGGATCTTTCTCGAAAGAAACAAAAAATAGTCTAATTAGATTTGAACTTTGTTGATCTATTCATTTAATGTGCGCATGAATCTCATTATAAATGGAATTGCATTGGCAGTATGAAATGAAAGTTTTTGCAGTTTAGAGTTCTTTCTGCATTTTAATAATTGAGTATACGTGCATAATAAATTTGCATTTGATGATCGTGTTATTGGCAGGGGAGTCCAAAGATGCACTCTTTGGGCAATTCTTTTCTGCCCTTGAGAGAAGTCTCTATTTTAAGACCTTGCCTGATGGTAATGATGACCCAGTCAGATTAGACAAAGCAACTAATCTATTCCATGATGCTTTAGCTGTATGCTCTCTCTCTCTCTCTCTCTCTCTCTTCCCCCCTCCCTTTTTTCTTTGGGTTACATGTGAATTCCATAAAAATTGTATCTTTATAGTTGCATGATTTTTTTCCACTATAGAAAACTACTTCTGTTAAAATGAAAGAAAATTTACATGAAGGATGAATAAGATGTCCATCAAAATAATTCCTCGAAATTTATCCTCCTCATCCTCATAATTTTATTAATGTTTCTTAAATTTGGTTTGCTGATGAATTATCCTCTAGGCTTATCTAGCATCTTTAAAGAGTGTCATGCTATGCAGCTTAGGTACATGCTAATTTGCTGAATTCAGATATTTGAAACATATCAGATTAGAGTTAATGTTCTCTTTTGTGATTGAGAGGATTTTAATAGAATGCAAGGTCCCATTATAATAGCAGATTAAACTGTATATCAGAAGTGAATTATGAAACTGGGTAAGGGAAACCAACTATACACTTAATTGTAAAGATAAATGTATCGGTGTGGCCCCATACATCAGATCAGGGTATTGTAATTCCCAATGATTCTGTAGTTTGTTCTGAGATTTGATAATGTAACCACCATTTATACACGAGGCAATTTGTGTGGTGCACACTCTTGATGTGTAGCATCCAGGATTTGCGATTCTTGGGGAAAGCTAAGAGTTGAGGATTGGGAGTGATGTGAAGGGATTGGAGAACTGATTCTCTCGAAGTTTAACATCAATTCAAATGGTTTTAAACTTCCAGCTACACAAACTACTGTGTTAGACATTATCCATTTTCTTTTCTGGTTTTAGTTCGTGACCCTTGTTATATTTACATTTGAATTATTGCTTCCATTTTGGAACTTTTGTTGCTTGATCTTCATTGTGATTAATATAGTACTCCCCAGGAGTTTAACCCCAAGATTGTGCTTAAATGGAATGTTCTTGCTACCGTTTACCTTTAAGAGTCTTATTAATAAGAAGAAAATCATTTGCTGCTTCAGGAGATGGAAAGATCTGGATGCGAGGAATTCATTCCTAGAAATCTGGCAGAGACCTTGAAATCACAAGGTATTTAAAGCTCATATGGCTTTGGTTGGGTTGTTAGTATGTCACTTTTGAACTAACTTTGCATTGTCAAATTGAGGAAATGTGGTTTAAAGCCCATTCATTTTGGTTTTCTAGGTGTTTGCTCCTGATGAACTCTGTGTCCATCTTGTTTTGTATTTCTTTTTTCTTTTCCACGAAATTCTTGTTTCTTATCAGAAAGCCAATTCATTTCTATCTCTCTGTGAGTTCTCTCACTCACTGCCCGGTTATACATGACAATATATTTTTTCTATATCCTTGGAAATGAAAAAATGCATCAAAGGCATTGGTAAATATCTGCATCTTACCTTATGCTTCATTAAATATGTCACTCTACATGGAGTATCAACATTCTGTGCAGAGGGTAATTCTGTTATGTGATTTTCATTTTGTTAGGTAATAAGGCCATGCAATCAACGCTGTACCCCAAGGCAATTGAGTTGTATGACTGTGCCATTGCACTTTGTGAAAGTAATGCTGTTTACTACTGTAACAGGTGCACTACCAACTTGTGCTTACATTTTTGGTACTAGGAATTATTCAATTACAGTTTTAGTCTTCTACCTTTTCTCAGTTTTCCCAGAAGGAATGACACAGAAAGATATCTGTTGTGAATTAATCTTTATGTTAAAACAACAAATTGCTACAATCAGAAAATTCTCAGCATTTTCAGATTATTTGATTGTAGGAAATGGTAGTTTAACATGTTAATTTTCATAGTGAACAGTGAGAAAATAATGTGACATATATCCTTCACATATTTCAATTGTCCAAAAGAAGATATAAAGTAATGTGGATTGTCAAAGAAGGAAAACAATTATTGTTTTCTCAAAGACAATATGGATAAACTATTCTTCAAATGTTTGATGTCAAGTTAGTATTATTTTAGTAATCACTCTGGTAAAATTTTGATTCATTTTGTCTAGTTGCAGCAAATTGCCACCCTTGTTGTTTTTTGAAACTGGAAATTTTAATTGATATATATGAGGTACATTCAGGGCAGCGGCTTACACTCAGATGCACAAATATACTGAAGCAATCAGAGATTGCCTTAAATCCATTGAAATTGACCCCAATTATAGCAAGGCATACAGTCGTCTGGGATTAGCTTATTATGCACAAGGGAACTACAGGGATGCTATTGAGAAAGGATTCAAGAAAGGTTAGTAAGAGAATCCTTTTAAAGTACCTATGCCAATGCCAAGCTAATATAGGGTACAAAAAATGGGGAAGCAGATTTATAGAAAGGTAGTATTTAACATTTCATAATTGGGGGTTTTAATCCTTCAGCATTGCAATTGGATCCGGGCAATGAAGCTGTCAAAGAAAATATACGGGTTGGTTCTTGTGTGCCTTATTCTTTTCTTTATTTCTTATGACTACTTCTTTGATCACTTTGTTATTTGAACCCAATAGGTGGCCGTTCAGAAATTGAGAGAGGAACAACAACGAGCAGAATCTGGTCAGGTAATACATTGATATTAAGGAAAAAGTGCCCGTCTACTAGAAGACAGGTCCACAATACTCTGCTGGGGGTGACACCAGTTAGCATGCTTTTCGCTGTTTGACTAATTTCTTTCTCTACGTTTCCCTTTCATTTCTACTGTTTTAACTTTTAAGAAATAGAAGGCGAGGCGACCTTAAGTAGCATGATACTTTTCTTGAGGGAGAAGGATATGATTTGTTGACAAGTATAATTTGTCACTTTTATGTAATATTTTTCTTTTTCCCTCATCTTATACAGAACACAAGTTCGTTTAGTAGTAGCAGTGCTTCAGAACACCCCAACCAGTCTACAGGAGGGTCGAGAAGCCATGCTGCACCTCCTCCGTTCAGTTCAATGCCATTTAATACAGGTGCTCTTCCTGCTGAATTTGCAAATATGTTTATGAACATGGCTGCAAATGCGTACCAAGGACAACATTCTCCAGATAACCAAGGAGATGATAGCAGTACCGAGGGATTCGATGAACCGGGAATAAGGATTGGGGGTAACATCAATTTCAATTTCGGAGAACAAATGCCCGAGGAACTAAGCGGAGCTTTGAGATCAGTGATGGAAATGTTTTCCGGAACAACAGCATCTCAGGGAAATTCACAAGATACTACAAACGAAAGACCAAGGCCAAACTAAACAATCGGAACATGTTGGAACTGTAAAAATAGTCTCAACACCTTTTTGTATCATTGCTATGGTTTATGTTTCTTTTATAGAAAATTTCTTTTGACTTTCTCCATCTTCAGAATGTTAGACGGCATCACAACCTTGACAAATGATGACTAAAAGGGTAGTTTGTTAAATTCACATGCTTAGTAAATCCCCATCCATTTGCCGACAATGACTATTTTGTAAAGGTCACAAATAAGTCTTATGTGGTAAATTGGAAGTACTACAAAATTTAGATACATAAGTTAGGAGTATTGTGTTTTTCTAAAAGTGCTACAAAGTGCGAGACAATGAATGTTGATCATTGATGCATTATGTACATTAATGCGTTATGCTACATGCATCAACGGTCAGTAATTAATTAAGAATCACTTACATACACGTGAATGAATTAGAAATCACTTAGAGCATCCACAGTGAGGAGGTGTATATGGGGGTGTATGTTAAATATACACCCCGAGTCACTGGAATCGTCTCCAATGGTGAGATGTAAATATACATCACCATCATAGGGATGTAAAATAAAATGTATATTTACATCCATTTTTACATCCCTTGCAGGCGGGACCCACCCGAGAAAAGAGAAGAAAAATGAAGAAAAGTCAACATAAACGGCTGGGACCCACGGCTACACCCCCGAATTTACACCCCCCACTGGAGCAAAAAACATATTTACACCCCCGGAGGTGTAAAAGGGATGTAAAAGTGGCCTTACACCCCCGAATTTACACCACCACTGTGGATGCTCTTACATGCAAATGAATGAATCGCTACAAAATCTTAGCATCCTTTTCTAAATTAATAGGTGACAAGATTGGTCCACCTACTAATTTGGTGGCCTAGTATCATCATCCTGGTCCTTATCCTCATCTTTCATGTCGTGCCACGTGGTTAGACCAACTATGTAAATATAAGCCACAAAAATCAATCCCTCAAATCAAATCCAACAACTTTTTGTTTTATTTGATAGTAAAACTGAAGACAAAAAGAGTCTAAATCCATTTGGGCCGCAAGTACCATATCCACCGTTGTTCAATACGCACATCGTACGGCCCATATGAGCCCGATTCCACGCCTTGAATTTTATTATTAAAATAAATAAATAAATAAACTCCAAAACTCAAACCACTTCAGACTCTCAGTCTTTCTGTCAGTCTGAGACTCCAAGTTCCTTCTTCTCGATCTCTCCGCTCGGCTTTTTGCTCACCGTCTTTCTCTCTCTCTCTCTCTGTGCTATTAAACGCTTCGTTTCAATCTCATCACTCCCCATGACATTTTGCGAGCCTTTTGCTTCTGATTCATTGCTTGCATTCTCGCAATGCTGATGAGCTCAAGTTGAATTCGTTTTCGTTTTCGGCTTCGGTGCTTTGGCTTCAACAACAAGGTACCCAAACACACAATCAGCATCAATCTATTTTCTGAAATTCGTTTGATTTTGAATTACAATGTGCATTTAAAAAAATAATAATTTGAAAGCCATTTTTGTTGTACTTGCTCTGTTTTCATGATTGCTTGAACATAGATAAAAGAGAGATTTATGAAAGTGAAGAATGAAAAATAACTGGGAGCTCAATTTTAAAGTCTGAATTAATTGAATTAATCAACAATAAAATAACATGCATCAGCTGGTTGATTGGGTAGCTGCAAAACCCTTATGCTAGCTAGCTCCTTGGGCATTTTGACAAGAAGTTTGCTCTGTTTTCAGATATTAAAGAATTCTTTTGTATTACCATTTCTTTCTGATTTCTAGTTTCTATTGTAAATTGGTGACAAATGTCTAAAACAGTAAAAAATTATCCTCCACACTTATTCTTAAGGAGGAAGAAGTGCTAGCTACCACTATATAGATTTATAGACAGTACTTAATTAATTATTATTTTGTATGAGTAAGAGACATAACTTCAGATTCTGAAATTTGCAATTGATTGGATATTGTTCCATTTTCAGGATTGAATTTAGTACTTTCTTCTGGGAATATACAGCCTTTGAAAGATGGGTCTCTACCTTGTTGGTGCCCTTGTTCCTCTTGTACTAACTCTTATACTTCATCAATCTAAGAAAGCAACGAAACGGGGTTTGCCTGTTAATGTTGGTGGGGAACCTGGGTTTACAATCCGAAACCGTCGGTTTACTTCCCCAGTGGAAACATTATGGGAAGGTATTTCAACTCTTGCTGAACTTTTTGAGCAGTCATCCAAGCGGTTCCAAGATAGACGCTTTCTTGGAACCCGGGCATTGATTTCAAGGGAGGTTGAAGAATCAAAGGATGGAAGATCCTTTGAGAAGCTTCATTTGGGAGACTATGAATGGCTAACTTACGGGAAAGCATTTGAAGTTGTGTGCAACTTTGCTTCCGGTTTAGCTCAACTTGGGCATAAAAAGGAAGAACGAGTAGCAATCTTTGCTGACACAAGAGAAGAGTGGTTTATTGCATTGCAGGTGCGTATCTTACATGGTCTTTGTACATAAAAATTTAATCCTTCTTTTGACATTTCATGATAATTTTTCTAGCTTACCTTAAACTTCTAGCGATCTTCATGTTGTTGCATGTATGATGTGATTTTTATTCATCTATTCTGTCACTAAACTAGAGTTTTAAACAGCAGTGTTTGTGAGCAATGATAAATCAATTGAGTTTCATGTTTGCATGAATGCTATGTGTTTTGGGTAGTCTAGTCCCAGTATAACAAAGACGCAAATTGCTGATTGCTTAATATGTTTTCTTATATCAGGGTTGTTTTAGGCGCAATGTCACTGTTGTTACCATATATGCGTCTCTTGGGGAGGAGGCTCTATGTCACTCATTAAATGAGGTTCTCTCTCTCTCTCTCTCTCTAATAGACTAGCTCACATTCCTGTTGTTTCGCACAGTATGTTACTATTGCAGAATAGGTTCCTTTCTGTACATTTTTTTTTGTTGATTAGAGTTCATCTATGTTCATTTGTCTTAAAAATAAACTTTAAACAAGGTAGTAAACTCAAGAAATTTGTTTCCAATTTTATATGTTGTGACTTTTGTGTAACTCATCCAAAATGTTGCAACCTAGTCCGTTTGGATGAAAGAATTGAAAATTACATAGAATTCTTAAATGATGGAATTTAGATCTCCATCATTTAAGTTTCTGGCAATTAATAATTTCTGTGTTTGGATTTATGTATGTCGAATTTTGTAAATGACAGAAATTACAGAGAAAAATGAATTCATGTTCAATAGAAATTGCGAAATGACGCTCCAATTTCCATGATTTTTTTCGCGTGTCATTTAATAAGTTCCATGCTTAAGTTGCCAAACAATGGAAATATCAATTTCTCCTCTTCAATTCCCGACTTTTATCTAAATCCTGAGTTATTTTCGTCCTTCCAAACGGAGGGTGAAGGGAGATGCATTTGAGATGTTAGGTTTCTTTCTCTTCAAATAAAAGAAAAAAAGGAAAAAAAAAATTCCTTGTGATGTTGATATGTTAGTACTAGATTAGGATTAATGTTTATCATTTGTCCTCACAGTGTTTGTTCTTAGTGCATAACCAGCATTGTTTTCATTTTATATTTCCAGACAGAAGTTACAACTGTGATATGTGGGCACAAAGAACTGAAGAAACTGCTAGATATAAGTGGACAACTAGACACAGTGAAGCGCATCATATGTATGGATGATGAGATCCCATCTAGTGCCTCATCTGTTGAAAGTAGATGGAGAATCACTTCATTCGATGTTGTTGAGAGACTTGGGCGAGAAAGCCCTGTTGAACCTGATCTACCTCTTCCTGCAGATGTTGCGGTCATTATGTATACAAGTGGAAGTACTGGGTTACCCAAGGTTTAAAGCCTCTATTATATCTTCTTGTTATTTTACATGATAGTCATTCTAATTGGTTTTTAATTGTTGATTGTTTTTGAAGCTTTGTGTGACATTTGTATCAATATTGTTATTTTTTTCCTTTCACCTTCACATTATCGACTGTTGATCTTTAATGAGTTTTAGGCTTAAAATTACACTTGAAAAGTGCTTTTGTTACACTGTTAAAGTTTTCAAAAGACACAGATGCTTGATAGTGACATTTTTTATGGGCGGTTTGACATTGAACTCAGGAAAAAAGACATTTATGTCTTTAACCTGACCTAGTTACATAAATCTATGAACTCAAACAAATGCCCATCAATCACATAGATGATTTTAAAGATTTTTTCAAGAAACAAGTGATCCCTTTTCTTTGATGCTGGTAGATCTGAGACATATTCTTCTTGTTCCATCAGATAAGCTAATCTTAGTCTTGAATCTTGTTGGAGAAAATGCATTCTCCTAGTTTTTATGAGTATGAAACTGCTGCAGTATTATAAATGTCACTAGTTTACTGCTACTATACTCTTTCATTTTCATTTGATAAATATCCCATTATTAATATACCATCTTGAAATTAAAAATAGGAGACAATAATGAAAGTCTCTTTGTTGCATCCACATTTTCCGAACAAAAATATTGTATATGTATCAATATGTATGGAAATATTTAGCTCATGGGATTGCTGTTTGCTTATATGAAATACCTTGCATGGTTGTATGGAGTTAGGGTACAATGGGTGGGGAATATGATATGGGTTGGGTTCACTTAAAGTTCTTCCTTTGGATGGGTACATTGTGGGTGATTGTGATTTATGACGAATGATCATATATGTTCGATTTATGTCATATGTGTAAACAGAATGAGCACTTGTTGCGTCACATTTCTCTACATCGTCTACTTTCCTTCAGATATATGGCCATTTTTGTTTTCTACTTTATTCTGTGCCCTTTCTTTTTTATTTGTTTTGGGGTGGCATCTAATGCAAGTATAGTCATTTATCTTTCCAAATGTATTAAAAAGTTAGTCAACAAACACATTATTCACCTCCAGCTTCCACTTTGTACAGGGTGTAATGATGACACATGCTAATGTGTTAGCTGTAGCTTCGGCTGTCATGACTATTGTTCCTGGCCTTGGAAGCAAGGATGTTTATCTGGCATACCTTCCCCTTGCTCATATCCTTGAATTAGCAGCGGAGGTATGGGGAATATGTAAGCTGGCTATATTGCATGGCTACAGTAATTCAATGATCATTTTTTTATATTTATGATTCTTATCTTGTTATGTTCTTATATCTCTGTGCTACTTGATTTAACAAGTTTTATTATCTGTATTGAAGAATGTCATGGTTGCTGTGGGAAGTGCCATAGGGTATGGATCTCCATTGACTCTTATTGATACTTCAAGTAAAATAAAGAAAGGAACAAAGGGGGATGCAACTGTGCTTGCGCCAACTGTATTGACAGCAGTCCCTGCAATTCTTGATCGTGTTCGAGACGGAGTGCTGAATAAGGTTTTTGAATCTTGGCAGGCTCATGATTTTTACATATTTAGATACCTATGCCTGTCCACATATAGATCATTTGTGCGTGTGTTTGTGTAAAACCTGGTTTTGAAATTACGCCAGTTTTGTCAACGTTGTATCTTCATAATGGTTCAGGTCAATGCAAAGGGTGGTCTATCCAAGAGATTGTTTCACTTGGCATATGCTCGTAGGTTGTCTGCTGTGAATGGTAGTTGGTTTGGGGCCTGGGGCCTGGAAAAGTTTCTGTGGAACTTTCTTGTGTTTAGAAAGGTCCGCGCAGTTCTAGGAGGTAGCATCCGTTTTATCCTTTCTGGTGGTGCTCCTCTTTCGGGTGATACTCAAAGATTCATCAACATTTGCATTGGGTTAGTACTTTTAGCTCCTACAGCATAACAAATTGTGAACCATGATGTTGTCCTGCCTATAATTTTTAATGCTTTTTTCTTGTGCTCTATTCTCAACATACCACATTTGTGCAATTGACAGTGCTCCAATTGGTCAAGGGTATGGTCTAACTGAAACTTGCGCTGGCGGGACATTCTCAGAGTTTGATGATACATCTGTTGCTCGTGTTGGAGCTCCGCTTCCATGCTCATTTATAAAGGTAAGAGATGACAATGGATATTTTAGTTACATGTGTATAACTGATAATTTTCTTAAACTAATTCTTCCAAAAAGGAAGAAAGAAAGTTTTGAAATCCTAATCATGACTTGCAGTTTCTTGGAGGTGTTCATTTATCCATTTCTGTGTTGAATTATCTGTTTCAAATTCATATCTTTTAAGGAAAATGTCTTAAGAAGAGTTCTGTACGCTGTTTCCAAGGAATGAAGGTGATATTGACTTTCTAACCTTCTGTGTCCAGTTAATTGATTGGCCTGAAGGAGGATATCTAAAAACTGATTCCCCAATGCCTCGTGGAGAGATAGTCATCGGTGGTCCAAATGTTACACTTGGTTATTTCAAAAATGAAGAAAAAACAAGAGAGTCATACAAGGTGTCTATTCAAATATTTCATACCGATATTCTTTTGGTTGCAACTACCCACCAAAGAAAAATGTTCAATAGATCCTAACTTTGGGTTTTTTTTTTAATCTTTGGTTTTTTTTGTGAAAAGGTTGATGAGAAAGGAATGAGGTGGTTCTATACAGGTGACATTGGGCAATTTCACGCTGATGGTTGTCTTGAGATAATTGACCGTAAGAAGGATATAGTTAAACTTCAGCATGGAGAGTATGTCTCCTTAGGAAAGGTATGTGTGTTGCAAGATGAATGCAACTTTTCATCAGATTTTCCCCAGGAACTAATGTTTCCTTTACAGGTTGAGGCTGCTCTTTCAGTGTGCCCCTATGTTGACAATATCATGTTGCATGCTGATCCTTTTCATAGTTACTGTGTGGCTATTGTGGTGGCTTCTCGAATCACTGTGGAAGATTGGGCTGCAAAGCAAGGAATTGCTTTTAGTGATTTTTCAGACTTGTGTGTGAAAGAAGAAACCATAAAAGAAGTGCAAGCATCACTTATAAAGGTATGTATATCTTCTGGGTAAATTTCCATTACTATGAACTTAGCTTGAGTCTAGGGATTTGAATTTTGAGCTCAAATATTGCAACCACTCCCCCACAAAAAGAGAAAAAGAAAAAAGAAAAGAAAGAAATCTTTGAACTCAAGGAGTGTATGCATCTCATGAGCTCATCTTGTCATTTATCAAGGAACAAACTCTTACCTGTAGCCAAGATCTCTGTTCAAATTTAATCACATTTGGCCTTGGCTTGCTGAACTACGATAAATTATATATATGTATTTTTAGTTTTTTGAATTTCTATTGGATTCTCTGATCTAAGCTCAATATACAGCCTTGGCCTTCCTGCCTTCTAGTCTCTTCAGGCAGATTGATTACCCTGATGTTTATTTATCTGATACATTATGCATCTAGTGGACGTAATGTCTGTTATCCTTGATGGCCAGCCCATGTCAGTTATTGTCCTATACAAAATATTCTTTCTTTTGTTTAAAAACAAAGAATCATCCAGTCATTCACCAAGCTTCCTTCTCGACTATTGAATGAACTTGCTACTTATTCAACTTCCTCTCTTTATGAAAAGCTTTCATTCCTTTATAAACTTGCTTGGTTCAATTTACTTTGTTTTGTTCTGTTTCGAATATTTACGTTTCACCTATTATAGGAAGCAAAGAAGGCACGTTTGGAGAAGTTTGAGATCCCTGCCAAAATCAAATTGCTTTCTGAACCATGGACTCCAGAATCTGGCCTGGTCACTGCAGCTCTCAAGCTCAAGAGAGATGTCATTAAGAAGGCTTTCTCTGAAGACCTCTCCAAGTTATATGCTTCGTGATTCTTCAGAAAACCTGGGCTTGTTATTTGCTGTGCAAAATCTTGATAAGTTGAGGGTCCCTGCTGGATTTCCTTTTTGCCCCTTAATTTGTGGCCTTGCTAGAGATGATGCAAACCAAGGGTTAGTGTTAGGAAAAGGTCGAATATAGAGAAATTAAGCACGTCGGAAGTTTATTTATATTAGCTACTCCAAGCAATAAGAAGATGATGATAATAGTTGTTAAATTTTATTAGCTACTCGAGGCAAATGGATAGCTTTTTTGTATTGGTTTTTTGAGTTATTTATTGGTTTACAGCATTGTACCAATTTTTGAGAAAGTTGCCATATTTTCTGTATGTTTCTGATTTAAGTTGCCATATTATTGGTCACTCGAACCACATGTCGAACCCAATTGAACCACCACCCAGTCAAACCCATTGAACCACCACCGACCGCTCAAACCCAAATTGAACCACCTCCGTTCAAACCCAATCGCTCAGTGGAACCATATAGAGATATGCGACTTCGAAGGCTGGAAATATGCGTACATCCTTTAATTTAGTACCCTTCTTCTCAAATGCATCGTTTGAGAGCCTTGGTCACACTGGCCCAAGCATTGCTTCATATTTGGTTCAGTTTTATACTCGTGTGCAACTGTAGTTGTGAAATATTTTCTAACTTCACGAATTGGAGAAAGGATTTTGATGTACTTAATCATTTTCTCTTGTTGGTATATCAGTATAAATAATCTAAAAGTTATACGTAAAGAATTTTGATATTTAATAATAAGCAACCATTATTTTAGATTAGATTAATAATATTAATATTACATCAGCTCTTATTTTAGTGTAGATATTTTAGTACATATCTATCAAGCAGAGAACTTATTACGGTATGGCCTTCTTCAATTGCTTGCCTGCTGAAGTTGCTTCTTCTCCTTGTTTTCTTCTTTGCCTGACCCGCCCACCTGACCGCGGTGGGCGAAGTCGTTAAGTATGTTCAAGTCTTTCTTGTTCCCCTTCGCTTTAAAATCATCAAATTCGATTTTATTGTTGCCTTGTCGGTCCCGTCAGTTCTGTTGGCGAAGCGGTTAAATGCCGTCAAGGTGCCGTGGTTGTCCGTCAGATCCACCCCTTTAAATTTAATATCATTGTTTCCAACTGGCTTGGTTTGATCTTGACCCATTTTCTCACTGATTGATTTTTGGTTGGGATTTGTGTGTTTGCTTTGATGATGAACTCATTGCCTCATGGTCTCCTTTTATAGTTGTTGGCATGCACATATGCAGAGAGGATGTATACTCTCCCACTTGACTGCAACATCTATTCAAACCACTTTCTTATTCTCATGGTCTCCTTTTATAGTTGTTGGCATGCACATATCTCCCACTTGACTGCAACATCTATTCAAACCACTTTCTTATTGCCTTAGAATCGATTCCTTATGTGCACAGTTTAGAAAGCTCACTTGATAAAGATATCTATATCAAACTGTGTGTCAAATGTCATCAACGCATAGGACTGCATAGACATAGTATCCAAATGATAAAGTCAATTAAATGCAGGACTTCGTAAACCTTGCAAGTAACAATGTGGCTTTTACCATTGAATCCCTAGGCCAAAAACGATTACTAGATAATGAGAAGTCTACAACGATTAGGGCATGTGTCTAAGAAAAGAATGCAAAGTCTGATCCAAGAAGAAATTCTTCATTCCTTGGATTTTTCAGATTTCACTAAGTGTGTTGAGTAGATGCATTAAGAAAAAAAATGACTAACTCAAGAAAACTAGGATCCACACGCAGTCAACAACTAACTAGAGATAATTAGATACAAACCCAAAAGTATTAGATACCTAGGGTTTATTAGGAAAATTAGATACAAACCCAAAGGTATGTTTATTAGGAATAATCCTTGTGATTTCAAATTTACTATTGAGACGAGTCAACCAAGATTTGTGGTTCCCGTTTTTGAAACTTTTAATGCCTTTTTTTTTTTTACCATCAATAACTTTATATTGTCACTTCCTTAATTATTATTTCTTTGAATATTTATTTTAGGTAAATAATTATTAGATTTCACCTTTTTAATAATTATTATATTTAATATTAGTTCTAATGTCAACTATATATATATAATTGTCACTTTGGTAAGAGAGAAGAGAGAATTAAAGGGACAATTAAGGGACAATTATTGCTTGAATTAATAATTAAAGGGTAATTTAGGAATAATGGTTGGGTGGAAAGATAGGTTTTGTGTTTTTCAAATTTACATGGTGGGTGGAGAAATATGACAAATGGTGCAATAGCAGCACTATATTTATGATTGTTCAAACCTAATTCATAATTCAAATTTTGAATTAGAAGTAAAAGATCCATTAAATCAGGATTATTAGTTTATTGCCATATTTATTTTAAAGGGCAAAATAGGTAATGAAAATGAGATATAATAATTAGTGGATCTAGATAAAAAACTGAAAAGACGTGGGTTAAACCTAATAAAAGGCACATCTTTGGGCTTCGATCTAAAGACCCCATTTATTTAACGGTCGTAACCCTCTGATCATGATACATATTCTATATTGATCATAATATTCTAACATTTATATCTGCTTGGAATAATATTCTCGAGGATAAAGGTTGCCAATTTGCCTTTTCTTGTATAGATGATGAGAAGGAATCTTTTGAAGTACCCTTATACCTTGCTTGCCAAGCAACGTCCTCTTATGGCGAAGCAAGTTTTCTCTTATAAGGATTGAAAATGACGGCCTATGCAATATTCCTCACTCAAGTTAATTAATAGTGTGCTCTTAGATTCTCAGCCCTCATCAATAATGGGTCGGTTGATGTTTAACAAGGAAATGAGGGGCTTGTTTCATAAGTTGCTTTTGTTTTCTTTCTTTCAATCAATGGAGGAGGAGGAGGAGGAGGAGGAGGGAAGGGAGGCTCTTCTAACAGTGAGGAGCAACGAAACAACTTTGCTGATAGCTTGAAAGATGGATGTTGAGAACTGCAAGAAAAAAGGTCAGTAGTGACCATATGTTATCGATCTGCTTGGATGAAGAAGAAGATGAAAACATCTGAGAGCCATAATCTCCTATTGTTTTATAGCATTTTTGTAAACCTTTTATAGCAGATTAATACAATTTAAGCAAAAGAGGCCAATAGTAGTAATGGAATTATTCAATATAGAGTTTTTATCACAAATGGTCCCTAAGGTTCACAAAATTATCAACTTTGGTCCTTTATGTTTTTTGTCACATTATTGATCCTTTTTGTTACACACCACACATCAATTTGGTCCCTGCCGTTAGGGTCCGTCAAATTTTATGTTAAGTTGCTGACGTGGCATATATGTGGGACCCACAAATCCAATCATATAGAGCCACGTGTCTTTAAATAAAATATAATAATTTTAAACATAAAATCCATTTAAAAAATTAAGAATAAAACATCAAATTTTAAAGTTATAAATATAAAATAAATAAATAAACAAAACCTACAACCATCCCTCCCTTTCTCCTTCGTTCCCCTCCCTTCCCCTTCCGTCTCCCCCAGCAGCAACCCA